ACTTACCTACATGCAGGCAATACATGCATACACATAAAATAAAAATAATAAAGTTAAATTTTAAAAAAAGAAACATTTAATATACATATCAACTAATCACACTGTACACATTTTCTTTCCTCTCTACTTTGAGTGAATTGACTATAAAAATATAACACCACCAGGCATAGTGACTAACACTCCGCTACTCGGGATGGTTGCAATTTCAAAATAAGCCTGAGCAATTTAGCAAGACCCTATCTTAAAATAAAATTTTTTAAGGCCTAGAGATATAAAACTAAGTATTAGATCCTTTGTCTTCTAGGCCGAGCCTTTTGGTTAAATCTCCCAGTGCCACAGAAGTAAAAATTAAAATTATATTGTAACACTCAAAATATTTAGAGATACCAATCACTGGTAAAACTACAGGTAGTATAATAAAATAGTGTTCTAGTAATGTCAATTTTTAAAAATACATATTTTAAAAATATGGACTGAAATGACACTGTCTGCTTCAGAATACTTCAGAGTAATACATACCTAAGAAGTTTGCACAGGAGAGGGATTATTGCTTAAATGTCCTGATGGGTGCACGTGAAAGAGGTCAGCGTACTATTCTCTATACCCCATGATAGCTTTAAATTTTGCAAAAGTAAAAAGGTTTTAGGCATTATTAGAAAAATATTTTCAGTCTAAATTCAGGAAAAATTGCCTAGACTCCACCTGAGCAGCGCAGCACTTTGTCGTTCATCTCGGTCTTTGTCTTTTCATTTTTAAGATTTCATACAATTTTCAGCATAGCACACACAGTATTACTGGTCAGTGGGGTGGAATTCTTCCTAAGGAGAGCAGTGATTTTATTCAATCCTCCTTTCCTGTTTTCAGCCTCTGTGCCCAGGAGAAGCAAAGGTCCCCTCTGCTATAACAGTTTCCCTTTCTCTTACATGATTGGTTTAAGAAAGATCCACTGTTTTGGCAAGGCAGCGACAGGTGAGAAAAAGTATGCTAGTAAACTGCTGTGAAAATTCTCCCTCTACTCACAAAGACAGCCCCAGAAACCCTTATTTGGGAAGCTATTCTACAATACTGGTTTCAAGGCAGCGTATTACAACTCCTAAAAGAACCAAATTCAAACTGCCTGTACCTAAATCAACTGTTTTTCTTTCTTTTTTTTTTTCAGTTTTGAGACAAGGTCAGGCTGACCTTTAACTCACTATGTAGCTGAGACTGATCTGAACATTCCCTCCCTCCACCCAAGTGCTGGGTGGGATTGCAGGCATGTGCCACCACACCCAGCTTTTTAACGTCCTTATTAAGCCAGTTTGGACATGTTTTCTATTTCCTGTAGCTTAAGGCATCCTAACTGACCAAGAAGCATGCAATCATGTGATATGGCTTTTACTTAATACAATAAACAAAACTTTTTCTGTTCTCTGAGTCTTTACAGCAGCTCAGCAAACTGTCCCATAAAGCCATTATAAATTTACTTATTTCCCTATGGTAAGATATTTAAAATCATTTGATAAGAGAAATAAAACCGTGATTAAATATACAGCAAAAGTGAAAGCAGAAGCCAGGCATGACAGTACGTGGCTGTAATCGCAGCACTGGGGAGGCTGAGGCAGGAGATCTCAAGGTTTAAGTCCAGCCTGAACTACAAAGCCAGATTGTGACCCAACAAAGCACAAACAAAGGAAATATACATATAAATACATGCTTTAAAAAATTTTTTTCTACGAACAGATCTCTAGAAGTACTAAGACAAAGATTAAAATTTAAATAGCTTTTTGTATAATTACTGGAATATTTTTAAGACTATAGACTTAATAATGGCATTGATAACTGTTGTTAACTACAAACAATGAGTGATTCTGTGATTGTTCCTGTTGTGGAGTTTGTTTGTTTTTACAGTGTCGATGCCCAAGCTTGCTTCCTGTGTGCAGTAAGTGTATTCCACACTGAGATGTACCGCCCACCTCTGGTTTGTTTGGGGGATGTTACTTCAGTTATGATTTACATATCTGTTTATTGTTCCGTCCCTCCTTCTGATCCGTCATGTGCTCTCACTGTTCTGCAAGCACTCCTGCTAGGTTTATTGTGAACTCTGTCACCAAACTCATCCACTCTTTCCATTCCTCTTGGAGCGGAGGGCTCCCATAACGCGCCTTCCATTCAGCCTCTGCCGCCTCCAACCTTCTTCCTTCGACTTTGCTGACACTGCCCTCTCTGTGTTTTCTCTGTGCCTGTCAAGCAGCTCTTGTTCCATCGCCCCAGTCTTTTTGCATGTTGACTTCCTGCCCCTTGTCTTTTCAGTCTCTACCTTTCACAGGAGAGCTCATCTATTCTGTGACCCTAATGACCATCCATGAAACAATGGTACCAACATCAGTACCTACACCCCTGGTCATTGCCACCTGCAGAAGACCCTCAAGTTCACATCTGACTGAGAGAACTGTGCTCTTCATACTCCACCCAACCTGTACTGTCACAGATTTCCTATTTCACTGAAAATGACTATGTGGCTGATTCTAAACCAGAAAGTTAAAAAACACCAACAAGGAAGTATGAGGAACAGAGGTAAGGGAAAGCCCTGGTGGACGAAGAGCTCACCTGATTGCAAGTGGGCTTGTATTTGAGGCCTGGTTTGTTCAGGATCAATTTCAGCTGTTTGTGGTTGAAATTGGACACCCCTATGGACTTGGTTAAACCTGCATCTTTACACTTCTCCAGGGCCTGCAGAGGAAGAAACAGCTGATAAAACTCTATTATACTTTGCCCTTTGGGGTTTGTCCTTGGACTTTTTTGAACACTTACATAATCGTTTCATTGACTCAAGCTATCTTATCACTCTGTCATTTTTAATATACTAATTGCTATGCATACATACTCAGTTCAACGGCATGCACATTCAGAAAAATAAATAGACATGAAGTTGCACTTCACTTCCCCACCCACTTCAGTGGTGCCTATTTTGATGCCTGGCACACAATAGTTCTTGAATAAATAATACCATAGCCAAGGGCAAATAGAAATTTGCAGATTTTCTGCTGGTAGAGGGCTTATACTACCTCTTTCCTAAGATGGTGAAAATGAGATAGGTTATATAAGGACAGATCTCATTCTCGTTCATAGCCTTCCCTGTACTAAGTCAGATTACAGCCCTCTTGACGCCCTCTAAAGGGACGTTTGTCTGTCCTGGGATATTGTGACAACCTTCTTGGATTTGTTTCTGCTGATCCCCTTTATAGGGCTTACCACTTTATATCTATGGAGCAAAGAAACTTCTACTCAGAATAATAGAAGTTAAGATTAAAATTAGACCTTAAAGTTCATCCCACTCAACTCTTACTTCATCTCTCACTTTACAGACGCGATGACAGAGATACAGTTTTATGATATGCCTTAGGTTAGACAATGGTAAAACCCATCTCTTCTGATTCTCCATTCAGTGATTCCTGCTTTGCCACATAGTTCCTTGTGGTATCTGAGGTGTTACTATGCGATGCCACATTATCGTGCTGTTTGAATAAAGACAGCCTGGCTCTTAGCATCCATTTCAGCCATGAGAGGACCCCAGCTGTTCTGAAAACCTATTCCTTCGGATTGTTCTAAGAACTGTGCTCTCAAACAGGGATCACTCCTCTTATTAAATAGTAATTCCAGCATAAAATGTCCCCATTTCAAAATGTGGACTCATCAGAGGACTTTGTCCTTTCGGACCCCTACTAGGACAGCACAGACAGAACCACAGATGTTCTCAATTTAATCCCATCTATTGTTTGTAATACAAAGAGGGGTAATCTATTGCTTCCAACAAATCTGGGATGTTTGCAGGGCTTGGTATGCAAAACATCTATACACATTGGTACATTGTCTTGATCAAGAGCAAGGAAGGGTCATGAAGAATTACAACTATAGTCTTTAGGTTACAAGAGGCGCTCGAGGCCTATTGGGTTTATTTACATTATAAATAAGCTAAAACAAGATGAACTTTTGGGGTAGAAGGTTAAGTAACAGTCATTCGTATAGGTATCTGCAGCAGTACATACCTCCCATGTATCACAAATGTCCACTGTATCTGAAATGACTTTTCCATTGGCATCCTTTGGCAAAAGTTCCTCCCCAGGCTGGAATGCAGAGAAAAAGAAGGGATAAATGGACCTTAAGAATCAATTTCTAGGGGCTGGAGAGATGGCTCAGCAGTTAAGAACACTGGCTATCCTTACAGAAGATCCAGGTTCAAATCCCAGCACCCACATGGCAGCTATCCAACAGCTTCTTCTGTACTCCGTAGGCATTGCATGACGTGGGTGCACTTACCTACATGCAGACAATACATGCATATACATAAAATAGAAACAAAAAAAAAATTTGGGGGTTTTTTTTTGAGACAGGGTCTCCCTGTTGCCCCAGCTGTCCTGGAGCTCACTATGTAGACCAGGCTGGCCTTGAACTCACAGAGATCTGCCTGCCTCTGCCTCCCGAGTGCTGGGATTAAAGGCGTGTGCCACCACACCAGGCCCAATAAAATATTTTTTTACAAAGAATCAATTTCTAGTGCATAAGGAGCTTACTCATCTAGTGTTCAGAAGACTGTATTAATCAGTATGTGTGTGTGTGTGTGTGTGTGTGTATGTGTGTGTGTGTGTGTTTAAGGGAGGTGCAGGGGAGAAAAACACAAAAATTATCTAAGAGATTATAGCAAAACACCTTTCCCTTTGATTGCCTCCACTTTTCTACCCCAACCAACCCCTAAATGTCACTAAGAATGAGGTCTCCTCTAATGGTAGTTCATCTCATGTCCCCAGGACGGGCTGGTTTGAACTCACACTCACTATTAAGAAATGAGGTTTTTGTTCCAGCTTATGATAACTCACCTGTGAAATTAATGAGTCTTCTCAGATGTCATCAGCAAACATATACTGTAATAAGAAAGTAAAGCCACAAGGTCCAAAGGAGCCCAAGGCTAAATGTGTAATATGGACTAGTCTGAGAGGTATAAATGGGAACGAAGACACCCTAAAACGGTGGAGAGTTCCCCTTATATCTCAACAATTCTGGAGAACTCTAATCTCTAACAGTCTGTGGACAGCAGCAGGATCACTGGACCAAGCAGGGGAACACCCTCAAGTCTCTGAGGTAGGAGCAATGATGGTCTTGAACTTCAATCTCTCTGAAGACTAGAGGATGAAGATAAGATATCTTGCCTGTGGGATAGTTCAACTACCATGCAGGCTCATAATCATTTACCAGTTCTGTCTACCTCAGGTAGATGTGTCTCTCCCAGTAAGAACCCCAAAATCTCACTGACCTGACATAAAGATATAATAGTCTTAGACATATAAAGGAGAAATCAAAAGCTGACCTTCATGGCCATCGGTACATGAATAATGCAGAGATCAACATAATCCAGTTTAAGCTTCTTCAGTGATCGCTCCAGGGATTGTCGAACCAACTCTGGTCTAAGGAAAGTACCCCAAACCTGCAATGACCAAAAGAGATTTGTAAATGGTTTATGATTTCACATCTGGGGCAACCAAAATTAAACATCATGATGAAAGAACTGAAAAAGACCTCTGATGGTCTCAGCTAAGCAAAAACCACTTGGGCTAAATTTATGCTAGGTATAAATCAAATCCTCAATGGTATACCACAGTACAACAACGTGAGGAAGTTTAACAGAACTTACAGGAGACAAAGGAAACAACCAACTTAAGTGTTTCAGGGAATAGAAGTTTCAGCCTCTGAAAAGAGCCAAGAAACGATGGCCAGGGGAATCGGAGTCTAGTGTCCTTCACAGTAAATTCTCAAGAACAGTTCAGAAAGTTGTCAACAATGTAAATGTAAGTAGGATTTGTCCTATACAGAACTCAGATCTCTTCTTGTTCACACCTGGTCTTCTACATGAGAAAACAGTACAAATTTCAGTCAACTCAACACCAATTTGAAAAAAGAATTTTCCCTTTTCTGAATAATAATCTCACTTGAAAATCTCCTTAAGAATTAGAGTACTCAGGGCCCAAAGTAGCTCAGTTAATCAACAGATCTGTTATACAACATAAATATTTTTCTCGTTTTATGTCTAAACAGTGTTATTCAGGAGATATAGACTATGTCCCACAATTAACACATTTCAGGGCAAAACAAGCCTTTTCTTGTTGTTTCCTTTTAGAAAAAAAAAATTTAGAGGCTGGAGAGATTGCTCAGTGGTAAGAGCACTGCTGCTCTTGCAGAGGACCTGGGTTCAGTTCCCAGCATCTACATGGCAGCTAACAACTATCTATAACTCCAGTTCCAGGAGATCTGATGCCCTCTTCTGACCTCCATGGGCATTGCATGAGACACGGTGCACTTACATACATGGAGGTAATACACACATACACATAAAATAAGTGTTAAAAAAAATTTAACATTTATTCAGTGTGTGTGTTTCTGCACTGTACGTATGTGGAGGTCAGAGGACAGCCCGTAGTTCTCTCTTCCACCTCATGGGTCCCTGGGATCAAATTTAGATTGGCAGACTTGGCAGCAAGTGTCTTCACCACTGAGCCATCTTGCTGGCCCTGTTTTCTATGTTTCTATAATGTATCTTTGCAATATTAGGAAATAAATTACTCAAACTGTGGCCAAAGGGTTCTTCTCCCCACGTAGTGTATCTGAACTGCAGTGGATTCTTGAACACAGTGTTCACCTTGGTGGTGTAGAACAAATCTTCCCTCTTCACAGTTCCATCAGCAATCTTCTCTCGAAGGGCCTGCCCAACTTCCTCCTCGTTTTGATAAAAGTATGCTGAATCTATGTGGCGGAAGCCTACATCAATGGCTACTTTGGTGGCCTCAGCAACCTTGCTCTTCGGAACCTACAAAAGAAGAATAAGGAAAGTTGGAGAAGCAGCCGACTGAGAAACAGTGTGTTTACCCAAAGCATTTCACGAATCACTCCTGGTCCGTGTTTGCTCTTGTTTGATGACTCAAGCTTTGATAATAGGTTTGTACTCTGGAGACAAAGGTTACAACAAAACTCTAACTTGTAAATCTCAACTCAATGAATTAGCGACGTGGGATTCACCATGGATCACTGAAAACCGAGTTTCATTCAGGAAGGAAAGGTGCTTACGGGAGAGGAGCTCTAAGGCGCTCTGTAGCTAGGTCAACTGTACAAACACAGAGCTACGTTTCAGCCTGTTTAGGGATGACTATTGGAAATGAGTTCATATTACCCTAGTTTCCACCCAGCTAGATTCTTTACTCCTCTGACAAGATGGGGTCACTTCACTTCCCCATTTCGTGTTGGACATACTGTTTCTGTAAAAGAAAAAGAGGGGTTTTTCAAGAGCATGGTTCCAAGAGTAATCTGAAGGGACAGGTGCTCAGAGCGGTCTGCATCTGCTCTTGGCTAAAATGGATACTCAGAGTCAGGTTGTGTTTATTCAGACATAACCATAATCTGTCACTGCATAGTAAATGCGCGGGAGGATCAGAAGTTCACAGTCTTTTTTTTTTTTTTTTTTTTTTTTTTTTTTTTAAAAAAAAAAAAAAAAAAAAGAGCTGTCCTGGAACACTGGAACTCACAATGTAGACCAGGCTGGCCTCATACTCACAGAGATCCACCCGCCTCTGCCTCTGCCTCCCAAGTGCTGGGATTAAAGGCATGCGCCACCACGCTCGGCTCACAGTCATTTTATCTCCATAGTGAGTCTGAGACCAGCCTGGCATATATGAGGCCCTGTCTCAATATTAATAATAGGAATAGTAACAAGCTCTTCATTGGCGCTTCACGTATCTTTATCTAGTTGTCAAACCCACATAGAAGTGGAACTCCATCCTTTGCAGACTGCCAGTTACC